CACTTATAACCCTTTTGTTGCTAGAGCCAATTTTTTTGCACTTTTTGCACACATGTTCAAAAAATAATTGAAAGCCTGAAGATTAGTTAAAACCCCCAAACATTATATTTTTTTCTGAAAGAATCCTGGATTATAAAATTGTGGTAGTTCCAATGTTTTTTGTTACACAATATTTGTGCAATGGTTTATCCAGCACAATGTTAGTAAAAAATTCACTAAAGCTAATTTTAAGACACACAAATGAAATAGTCATGGCCAAAATTTTGGCACACCTGCATTTCTGTCAAATAATGTACCACTTCTCCCAGAATATTGTTGCAATTACAAATGTTTAGGCATTCTCATGCAGGGGCGGACTGACCATTTGGAAATGGGCCCGGGGTCAGTAGGGGGCCCCATGAGATGCCCCTGGTACCTTTTTCATAGGCTTTGTTGAGTTTGGGCAAGGACACAGGGGCCCCATGATCCCCTATTGCCCGGGGCCCCATAAGTTGTCAGTCCGCCCCTATTCTCATGTTTATTTCTTTTGTTTGTATTGGTATGAAACAAAAAGGTGGAGAAACAAAAAGCCAAATCTGACACATTCCACACAACACCTCAAAAATGAACTGGACAAAATTATTGGTACCCTCAATTTAATATTTGGTAGCACATCCCCTTGGAGAAAACTGAAATCAATCACTTCCTGTAACCATTAATGAGTTTCTTACACTTCTCTACTGGAGTTTTGGACCACTCTTCTTTCACCAACTGATCCAGGTCTCTCATATTGGAAGGGTTCCTTTTCCCAACTACTGTTTTGAGATTTCTCAACAGGTGCTGTATGGGTTTGAGACTCATTGCTGGCCAGTTCATTACTTTCCAGCGCTTTGTTTGAAACCATTTCTGGGTGCTTTTTTACGTGTGCTTTGGGTCATTGTCCTGCTGTAAGACCCATGACCTCTGAGTGAGACCCAGCTTTCTGACACTGGGCCCTACATTGCACCCCAGAATTCTTTTGGTAGTCTTCAGATTTCATAATGCCATGCACACTGTCAAGACATCCAGTGCCTGAAGCAACCATTAATGAACTCCAAACCATAATGAACCTCCACCATGTTTGACTGTAGGGACTGTATTCTTTTATTTAAAGGCCTCGTTGCTTTTTCTGAAACCAGTAGAATGATGGGCTTTACCAGAAAGCTGTAATGTAGCACATTCTCAGCACATTCTCCCAAAAAGATTTTGGTTTCCTCAGGTAAGTTTTGGCAAACTCCCATCTGGCTATTTATTTCTGTGTCAACAGTGGGGTTCTCCTGGTTCTCCTACCATAGTATCCCTTTTCATTCATATGGCGAAGTACAGTGCGAGCTGACACAGTTGTACCCTGTGCCTGGAGGTCAGCTTGAATTTGTCTGGAAGTTGATTGAGATTCCTTATCCGCCATTTAACAATCCTTTGTTGCAAACTTTGATCAATTTAGCTTTTTCGTCCATGTCCAGGGAGTTTAGCTACAGTACTATGGGCTGTAAACGTCTTGGCAATGTTGCTGCACAGTGGACACAGGAACATTAAGATCTCTGGAGCTTGACTTGTAACCTTGAGATTGTCAAGGCTTTTCCACAATTTTTGTTCTCAAATCCTCAGATAATTCTTTGCTGCTCTTTCTCTTCTCCATGCTCCATGTGGCACAGAGACACACAACAGAAAGATTGAGTAAATATTTCCCCATTTTAACTGGTTGCCGGTGTGATATCTTTATTGTTAGCACCTGTTAACTGCTACAAATAGGTAGTTTAATTACATGAGCATCAAAAACTTGGAATGCGATTATTTCTTACAATTTTGAGAAGGCGCCAATAATTTTGTCCAGTCCATTTTTTGAGTTTTGCATGGAATGTGTCAAATTCGTCCTTTTGTTTGTCCACTTTTTTGTGTCATGCCAATACAAATAAAGGAAATAAACACAAGAATGCCTAAACATTTCTACTTGCAACATGTTGCTGGCGAAGTGGTGTATTATCTGAAAGAAATGCAGGAGTGCCAATATTTTTTTCTGATCTGAAAACAGGCAGGTGGACCCGATCAGAACCTCCTTTCTCTATGGAGCGGCGGGTCTATCTGTCAAAAAAGGATGGATTGGGATCCAATTCCACTTCCATCCATCGGATCGGGTTAGATGAAAACGGATAGGTGGTCCGTTTTCATCCAACCACCCATTGAGGAGAGCAAACATCTCTGTGTCTGCTCTTCAGCAGCAGAGCAGACACAGAGCTGCCATCCGCTTGCCCTGCAGGGATCAGCAGAGAAATCCCCCACTGAGCAAGTGGATCCGCTAAACAGGTCCGCCCCATGTGAAAGGACACTTAGGCTGGGTGAAAGGAACAACATTTTTTTAAATTTTCAAATCAGCTCACTTATCCTCAGCATCATATTGGATTCTTCCATCATATGGTAGACTTGTCTATCAGATTTGTCCATCAATGTGAAAGACCACAGCAAATGGGGTTACATAACAATAAGAAGAAGACATTTTGGGCATTCCCATCTCTTTGTGTATAAGAAGTTGAAATGCAGTTGTTTGCCTAAATCTATATAATAGACTTTTTTTTACCATTGCCTAATGTTTGTCTTTATTTCACAGGGGAAGATTTGTGGGTTATGTGGAACTTATGATGAAAATCGAAATAATGATTTCACGACCCGCAACAATGCTGTTGTTGCAAATGCAGAAGAGTTTGCAAACAGTTGGAGGTTGTCCCCCACTTGTGCTGATGGCAAAGTCTATCGAGATGCTTGCTCACTAAACCCGTACAGAAATGCCTGGGCAAATAAAAAATGCAGCATCATAAACAGTGAAGTCTTCTCTACTTGCCATTACCATGTAAGTAATGGGAATGCTGAGACATTTCTTTTCCCCTGATTCTAATAATATGACTGGACATTTGCAATTTGTTTAGTTACAAATCGACGTTCTGACTAAATTTACTTGATTCGGAGATTTGAATGTATCCAAATCTCCCAAGCACAATAGTAACGAATTTCAAAGACTCTGAAATAAATTATAACGAAAACAACATATTTATTTATATTCATTAATTTCATTCAGATAACATGATGCGATAATTTGGATGTAGCCAAATCTCTGAATCACAATAGTAACAAATTTCAACTAATCTGAAATAAATTATAATGAAAACAACATATTCATTCATATTCATTTGCTTAATTTACATGATGGTACAATAGGTTTGGCCTTTTATTAATGTTTGAAGCACATGAAATAAGGCAACTACATAACGAACGATCCAAATTGCTTCAATCCATTATTTTTTATTCTAGTGAGTGTAGCGTGAATATTCTTTTTATATTGGGATTGAACTTGAGAGACCGTTTGTTTAGTTTGTATGTGCACAGCCCAGCAAACTTTCGGATGCATGCAATTCCAGTCAATATCATCAGTTTATTCCATTTCTCTTTGTGGGTTGGACCAGCAGGGATATAGACAATTTTCCAAAATAACAAAAGAATAACAAAATTTCTGAAAACATGAATCGATTTGGAACAACAAATATATACTCTCCTAAAAAATGAATCATTCTGAAAATGAATCATTCTAACATAATGATTATAACTAAACCAATTGATTTACTTAACCAAGGGTTCAGCAAATCATGTTCAAAATTTGGAGTACCCAAACTTAGAGGAGAAACCCATTGACGTTATGACAGGGAAAAGTTTGTTGCTAAGTTCTGGTCATTTTTAGTGCTAATAAGCAAACTACTTTCAAAAAAGGCAAGGAAAGTGGCACACTGCCATGGGAAACATGTGCAGTACCAATGCAAAAAAAAGTTAAATAATGTACATCAGGAACAGGATTTGTTCAAGCTGCTGCAATAGAAATATTGCCAATACACAAATTCTTTCAATATGTTTGGAGAATGCCTTAAATTTGTACATGGCATTGTGGAACAGTATAGTTTTCATAGGCAGTCTCAGTGACAATGTACAATGGCAGTACAAATTTAGTACAAAGGTTGTGTCCGGCTATTCTGTCACGTATCTTGGATCTAAAAACCAGTCTGAGCACCAGCGCCCCACTCACATTCCTTAGATGAGCAGTAGAGCTTGGGTGAGTTGTTGACTACCTATTTTCAGGTAGTTTTAGTTGCGACACATGCTTTTTAATCTTGAGGTAATAGGCCTGCTTCGCCCAGAAGATAGAAGTGCAGTGCTTCATTGAAGCTTTAACTTTTCTAATTGATGTAAAACTGTCCTGCTTGCCAATTTATATTAAACTCCCATTAAGAATTGAGGGAGAATTGGCAAAAATGTACTACAGAAAAAGAGCACACAGGTGCTTTGCTAAAATAATTAAGACTGCAGATGACACAGCAAAGTTTAAATTTGACCTTTAAGCTCTGCAGTACTGTCAGCAGCCATTGTGGCTGACAGCTTGTAGGTTTCAATGAACTACAAGTGTGCTACCTTAACCTCCCTAGCGGTCTGATTATGTCCATATTTCTGTGCTTAAAGCAGTACATATTTTGCATGGAAATATGTATTTTTTTTTATTGTAGGCCTGTAATTTTTAGAAATAACTCACTGAAATCTGTCCGAACAAGAGTCTAGTAAACATCCCGGGTAGGAAAAAACTTGAAACACCAAATCATAAATTATAATTTATTAAATAATCATTAAAAAATAATAATATAATAATAAATTTAATTCAATAATATAATCAAACCAAAAACACTGAAATTTGAAATATAGCGCCAAGTTCGCACATCACTGAGCAAAGTCGCAAAATCGTTTTCAGTGTCTGATGACGAATTTCCCCACTAATCATTATCACTCAATTCTGCAAGTGGTTCTAATTTACTATCGCTGTTCTCTAGCTGGTCTAAAACCGATTTTGACATAAAGGGACGTTTTTTGGACGCCATGGATGTTTCTCAGTTTCCAGGCAGAAAGAACAGTAAAAATGCAGGCAGGGCACAGGACAAAGCGCTAGGGACAAAATGTATGTGAAATGGTTTGATATAGTAATGTTTTACTATGTGATTTTAGTGAATGTCACTTTTTGTCATTTTCAAATTTCCCGCCGTTCTGTCCCCCGTACATCCCGACGCTCGCAGGGGACGGAACCCAGATGACAGATGCTGACATCCGCCGGATTATATTGCCGAGGACACTGCAGGAGGGACATCGCGGGAGCGCAGGACAAGGTAAGTGATCGAGGGATCGTGGAGCAGTGCCGCATGGTAAGCCCAAGTGTAGCTCGGGGTTACCGCTTGTGGTACTGAGACTTTACCCCGAGCTACAATCGGGAATACCGCCAGGGAGGTTAAGATAACCTTTACCTGCCAATTTTTCATCAAATGCTCATAATACATTTTCTAAATGTGGGATAGGTTCACTTTGCTTTTGTTTTCTGGATATATTTTCCAAGACATATTTTCACTTTATTGTTGTACTATATAGCATGCAGAAAGACTCGGGGTAATTTACTAAAACTGGAGAGTGCAAAATCTGGTGCAGTTCTTCATAGAAACCAATGAGCTTCTGGGTTTTATTGTCAAAGTTTACTGTATTTGAGCAAGCTGAAGTAAGAAGCTAATTGGCTATCTTGCACAGCTGCACCAGATTCAGAGTGCACCCATTTTAGTAAATCTCCCCCACCATTAGTTCAGTTATTTCAGGATATGTGGAAATGTTAATTCTGGTCAGACAGAGCAAGAGACGCCGGAGAAAATAGTAGGGGTGGGATAGCAGCTAATAGCAATTGCTGACCTCAGATCAAACAAAAAAATGAAATGAAAGAAAAAATGCCCCCAATAATAAGAAAAAAAGGCAGAAATAATTGCTTAAAGGCTAAGTTCACCTTTCTGAACACGTTATATGTAGGGTGTAACATGTAACATGTTCAGCATGCACATCCTCCCTTCCCCATCCCCCCCATTACAGCAGACAAGGGATCTTCTCCTCGCACCCACTATCAAAATTTGAAAACAGTTTGGCCATGCAGGGCTCTGCCCACACAGCCACTTAATTCATTAACAGTTTCCTGTGAAAGAATAGACTACAAGTACTGTCAGCCATTAAGGCTGACAGTTTGTAGTTCTCCATTAACTATGAGAACGCTGGTGAGCTCTCCTGTAGTTAAATGATCTTCCTGCTGACAAATAACTGCCTTCCCTGCGCCATTCTAGAGTCTACAGGTGTACAATGGTCTACAGGCTCCTTATAAAAAAAATAATAAATGTACATTTATTCCTTTGTTTTTTACATGGTGAACTTAGCCTTTAACGTGATACGAAACATGCAATGTTTTTATCCCTTTTATTTATGTATAAAGAACACGCCACTGTATTTAATGTAATATTTAAAAAATTAGGGGGGGGGGCGCATGCGCGGCTGGCTCCGAGATGGATTCTCAGTGAAGAGAGCTCCGTCCACCCGCCAGCACTGACGCGGCTCACTCCGACCCCAGGAGACCAAACCCCTCCAAATAGCAAATAAGGGTCACGGAACCCTCTACAAACAATGACGCACCACCGCAAAGCTCCGTGACAGCCAGGGAAGCTCACAAACTTCTTCCTTGCTGTTAACCCATGCAGCCAAGATGGCGCTGGCTGCATGACAAGCAGCCTCATCTCATATGAAGGGGACAAATCAGCACAGCATCCGGACCCCAGGCTCAAGGCACCACTGTACCCAGGAGACCCGGGTGAGTCCTCTCCTCCCCTGTCTCCTTCTACCAGCAGCCCTGCTAAATCCAGGCCCAGACTGGACACAGATGCCATTCCTGACAGACAGCCTTCTTTTCCACCTACAATCTTTGAAAACACTTCTCCATCTTTAATGGAATCCTTTCCTGCCTCTGACCAACCTATCACTGAAATCTCCATGAAAAACATGCTTCTTTCTCTGCAACAAACATTGCACAATGATCTGACAACATCACTATCCCAAATCTCAAACGCGGTACAAAAACAGGAATACCGTATACGCCATATTGAGAACAAAATGGGAGAAATGTTCACAGCACATAATGATCTAATAGATGCACACGCAGACCATGAAGCTGATATCGAACAAGTAAATCTTAAACTGGCAGACCTAAAGGACTGCTCCGGGCGCGCAACAACATTAAATTCCGTGGTATCCCTGAATCCATCACCAAAGACGCCATAGTTCCCTATATCCAACAATACTTGAAGCACCTCATTCCTTCACTCACAAATGTGGGGCTCACCATAGACCGCGCACACAGAATACCCAAGCCATCATTCCTACCAGTCGCAATACCCAGGGATACATTGGCGCGCATACATTTTTACCATGTAAAAGAGAAAATAATGTTAGCCGCTAGAAATCCTACATCAATTCCAGCATCACAAGCGAATATCAAATTATTCGCTGACCTATCCAAAGCTACACTCCTCAACCGCAAAAAGCTTGTCACTATAACAAAGGCACTGCAGAATCACGGAATCGGCTACCAATGGGGCTTCCCCACGAAGCTTACCGTCAAACACCATGGAAGGATCCACACGATCAAAACCCTGAAAGCAGGCATCGAACTCCTGAAAACTTGGAGCATCATACCAGCGGACTCCCACCAATCCATCCCTAACTGTCTGAAGCAAATGGATGCAGAGTGGTCATAATCCACCATCTACTCACACCACCAAATACCCAACATCCTGGGCATTGCTCCACAAACCACTAACAGCTAGCAGATGGCCCTTATCCGAACATTTCCAGGCTTCAAGTTTTCTTCCAGCATGACATCTTCTACAAGTCATGCTTGTTCAAACCTCCCCATTACGCAGTAGCAAGACGTGCTACACATGTTACTTTTAAGGGTTTTTTTTACGCTTTTCCCCTCCTCGCATCACCAGTCAGCCAAGTCAATCTCTATCCCTTCAAAGGCCTCCACCACATGATGGAAAACATCCCCCAACCCAGCGACCAAACCGAGCCCACAACATCACACCTCTGGAAGACCATCACCTATGACTAAAGAAAACCCACCTTACTCAACAACCTAAGAAACAACTCCTCTACTTCACAGAACCCGTCAACACTCAACAAAATGATTAACATATCATCCTCTCCTTTAGGCGCACCCTGAAAACCCATCTCTTCAGGGAAGCCTACCCCACCCCCTGCTAACTTGCCGACCTCCTCCACTCTTCCTACCACTCCATCCCCCACAGCTATCTCCTCCTGTGCCACCACCCCCTCCCTCCTAGATTGTAAGCTCGAAAGAGCAGGGCCCTCGATCCCCTCATGTTTTGCATTGTATTGGTATTGTTCTGTCACATGTTCTGTCCCCCTTTGTAATGTACAGCGCTGAGCGAACTATTGGCGCTTTATAAATACTGTATAATAATAATAATAATAATAATAATAATAATAATCCTTAAACATCCATGGCCTAAACTCCCCTTATAAGAGATCCCTACTTATGAAAGAAGCTCGCTCCCTACAAACCGACTTCCTATTCCTACAGGAAACACATTTCGCCTCCACCAAAATCCCTAAATTCAATGTGCAGCATTTTTCTTCCATATATATGGCGACAAATCCCAAGAAAAAGAATGGTCTTATTACAGCCATAAGAGACTCCCTTCGATTCCATTACATCTCAGAAATAGCAGACCCCCAAGGCCGCTACCATATCGGGATCTGAAAAATCAACAAAATCCTATACACCCTGGTCAATGTCTACGGTCCAAATACCAACCAACTCCAATTCTACAACAAACTCAACCATCTCCTCTTAAAAACAAGGCAGACTTCTCATCGGCTGAGATTTCAACATCATAGGCAATCCACTTCTGGACTCTTCCTCCAACAAACGCTCCTCCAAACGCAACTTTAACCAATTTTTGCATAATAATGATCTCTACACAGCACAGAAAAAGATTACACCTATTACTCCCCATCCCATCTATCCTACTCCAGAATTTACTTTTTCGTCACAGACAAATGGACTCTACAGCATGTTCCTTCTTCAAAGATCAGCACCATAACATGGTCAGACCACGCTCCAATCACCATTACCCTCGACTACAATCAACACTCTTCGATCCCTCGAATGTGGAGACTGAATTCGGCACTACTGAAGAATCCAGACCACAAGAAATGCATATCGGACGCACACAACATGTTTTTTGAACTCAATGATACACCTGATATTTCTATACCCACATTATGGTCCACTTACAAAGCATACATGAGAGGTATTCTTATACAACTAAATTCCCGCATTACCAAACAAAGAAACCAACAAATTGGCAAACTCCTCACATCAATTAAATTAAAAGAAGAAATAAATAAAAAATCCCCTTTCAATTTCTTCCTCCCTCACCACAGACAGAAACAAACTTAGATCCCTCTTACTTTACAAATACAACCTTAATCTACAAAAAAATGAAAGTAAAATTCTACTCCTTAGGCAACAAAGAAAATTCCCTACTAACTCAAATGATCAAACAAAGATGCCTAAAATCCAAAATCTCCTCAATCCAACACCCAACCACTCACACCCCACTCACAAATCCACAAGAAATAGCCAACGCTTTCGCGAAGTACTACCAAAACCTATACAATCTCAAAAATTACCCTGATACTATCCAACCAACACTTACATCCATACAACAATTTCTACACACAACTAAACTTCCCCAACTTTCCCCATCTCAACTTGTTACTATCTCCACTCCGATCTCTCCCAAAGAAATAGAAATAGCCATTAAAACACTCCCACTTAATAAATCTCCAGGAAACGATGGATAGACTAACGAATTTTACAAGTAATTTGCCCCTGACCTTTCACCCTACATGACCAAACTCTTTAATCATGCCGCCACCACAGGTACATTTCCTAAAGATATGCTACACTCTATAATAACGACTATACCAAAACCTGGCAGAGATCCACAACTTTTCCAAAATTATAGACCAATCTCATTACCCAATACAGACATAAAACTTTATGCAAAAATTATAGACCGTAGAATCCTCCCTTATCTCCCTATCTTAATACATCCAGACCAAGTAGGATTCATCCCAGGCCGCCAAGCACCCGACACTAACAGAAGACTTATATCCCTCCTCCACAATCTAGAACTCACCAAACAACCCTCCCTATTATTATCTCTAGATGTAGAAAAAGCATTCGACCAAATACATTGGCAATTTATGCAATTGACCCTACAAAAATTTGGCATAACAGGATGGATGTTGACAGCCATCCTATCACTATACACCCACCCCTCAACTAGAGTACTAACAGACGGAACACTATCGAACCCATTCAACATTACAAATGGCACTTGTATA